TGGCTGTTCTGGGCCCATTCTGGCCTGAACCCCACAGCAGGTGCTGGTTGCCAGCACGGGCGGGCCCGAAGCACGGCATTAAAATGATCCCTTTAATGAGGGGCAGGGCCAGTGCACAGAAATAAACAACGAAGAAGATGGAGCTGGTTTGGGGATTAGGGCAAACAGGCAGAAGAGCTTTGTATCTCTCTGGCCACCATACCTCAGAGCTAGCAAAACTTTCCTTGTGTGTGTGTGTCCCCCCCCCCCATCAGTGACTTGTTATTCAACGCTTATCTTGGGTTAACTTCCCCCAAAAGCCACTGGTGACTCTGCCTTTCTGCTCCTCTCTCCTCCTAAAGCTCTCTGGTTTAATTTGTTTGCATACTAAAGCTAGCAGCTGATAAGGAAAAGCAGGTTTCTGTGGCTGGCTGTTGGTGCCTCCTCGGGCAGGTGACTGCCCTCACCTCCTGCCTGGCAGCTGCAGATAATACTCCGGAAAGTGTTTTCTGCACTTCCAGGCTAGCAGAGACGTGATAGCTTCGCTCAATCTCCCGGCTCTTTTCCCACGAGCAGGAGCAGATGCTCCTTGCGTTGAGGGAAATCACGGGAGCAGCGAGGAGGTCACTGCAGCGCCCTGAAGCAGGCTCCCGAGGGACCCAGTGCCCTGTGCTCTCCTGGGAGCACGCTTGCTGCAATGCCTGGCTCCCAAATACCTGCATTTATTTACCGTGCCACATCCTTGGCTTGAGCGCTCCCTTTTCCTTCCCCCTGCCTGTTAAAAAGCAACAGCCCCCTTGAAAGCGTTGTCTTAATTCTCCAGTGGAAACGGTTGACGGTGACTCTTCTGGAGTGAAGAAGACTTGTTGCTTGAATTGTGTTTTTCTTAGATTGGTATTCACTTATGTGTCTATATTCTGCTGAAACAGAACATCAGCAATCACTTTAAGTTCTTAAAGCAGAGGCTGTGCATAATGAAGCCTTGATGAAACTTCCATGTACAATTATGGATGAGAAGTGAAATAATTTGTAGACCTAACTTTTTTTTTTTTTTTTTTCCCAGATAGTTAAGGTATGCTGTAGCAGTTTGTTGGTTAATTAACATTTGGATAGCAGGGTACTTTTCTGGAGCATTATGAAAGTGAAATTTTGTCATTAATAATAAATCAGAAGCTGTAACCAGGGTTTGTTATGTATTTTGGGTGAATGCTGGCCCCGTGGAAGTCAGGGAGAATTTTACCATCAACTTCAGTAAATTCAGAGTTTCATCCTGCTGTTGTAAAGGACCTTTAACAGCCACTTACAATCTTGTCAAAAAATCTGTTTGAGTGAAACTAATCCCATAGGGCTTTTATCAAGACAAAATGATGGTGGAGGAGGGAAGCTTTTGAATGCTTCTGTTGGAAAGAACTGCAGTTTGAGCAGTGCTTGTGCTGTGACAGAAAAATCCTGGGTTGGAGACTGCCCCTAGCTCAGATAACTGCGCTGCAGTGAGCACAGCAAGATCGTTCTGGAGTGATCATATTAAAAGGATTAGGCAAAGGCTGTTTCACATATGCGTGCCAGGGCCTCCTTTCTCTTCTTTCAATAAATGCAAGCTGGAAGTAATGTTGGTATAATCAGCTGTGTAGAGTGGGGTATGCAAAGGGTGCCTAAGCTTTAGCACAATGTTAAAAGCCCCAGCGTGCAAATAGCCCCCCAGGTAATATTTAAAGGACCAGATCCAGGTATCAATTTCTTCGTGACTCCTGGAGTCTATGATCTGAATAGATAGTTTGTACTCTGCACCTGGGAGCAAATCTGTACGCACTGACCCATGCTTCCAGCTACCAGAGAGTAAGAGATGGCTGATGTGCTGCTTTTTTTTTTTTTTTTTTTTTTTTTTTTTTTCTGTATGCAGTAGAAAATCCAGTTTCTTTGAACCAGGAGTCAATGTAGTGACTCTGTTTTTCAGGTCCTCCCACGGTAACGAAAACCAGCTCCTGTTGGGCACAGAGGGCTCTGCAGAAATTCAGGGTGGTGACATTTATGTGGCGTATCAGAACCCAAAATGGAGTTTTCAGTTGCGTTGCCCGTTACGAGATGCTTGGGTAACACACACTTTGTAAGAGGTGGCTGGGATAGTGTTCCCTGGGCATTTTAAAATTACCTAAGGGGCTCAACTACGTACTTTTTAAGAAGAGCGTGGAACGAAGAGGTGTAGTTTGTTTGTTCAGCATGGCCAGACCAGGAGCGGCCCTGAGACGGAGGCACGGGAAGAGGAAAGAAGGCTGCAGGTATCATTGAAAACAAGCGGCACAAAGCTCTTCATCCGAGGAATTCGTGTTAGTGGAACGAAAGGCTGTACCCATGCACATTTGCAGCTCCTAGGCTGGGTCCTCCCTACCCCTGGGCTAGACCCAGAAGACTGTGCCAGGTGCCCTCCTTTTAAAAGACAGGCCAGCTTTTGCTGGCTGAGGAATTCAGGAGGGTCTTTGTGGCTTCCGAGACAGGTAGTGGCAGCCAGGTGCCCTCCAGCCTTATGTGCTACCCTTTCGCTTATGACAGGCGGAAATAATTTCTGGAGGGCCTTAATGAAATTGCACCAGCTCACTGTCTCTGTGCCCCTCACCTTCTCTTCTCTCCCACGTTTACAGCTGAGAAATGTCTACAGCCTTCCTCCTTACACACGAGGATTTATTGCCAGATGCAGGCAGCAGGAGACAGTTCCTAGGACAAACAGATGAAACAGAAGGTCTTTTTCATAATTCTGCCTTGAATCTTCCTCCACTTCCTGATTCCCCAGCTGCTGCCTTGCTAAGCTGGATACAGGGATCCCCTCCTTCGGTGTCTGCACATGACAAGTATGTGTATTCAAATGTTGTCAAGCTGCAGATTTTGGAACAACATTCTCGAACTGTTGGTAGACAAAGAGACAGGTGATGGACTGCAGTAAAACACACCAGCTTTCTTATGGCACTTGGAGCAAGGTTTCTAAATTATGAAGAGAATTAAATTTGCAATACTTAGTACAGAAAATATGACAGTGCATTGGAGGGATGGCAGCCCTGCTTTCAGGTACCCATTAGAGTGATTTTATGAAAAGGATGTAATTTCTGGGCAGGATGCTACTAGAAACAGCTTGTTAAATTCATCCATGTAGCACTCTCAGTGACTGTGGCTTTGCTGGCTTTGGTGCCCAAGGGCAGTCTCCACTGCAAACAACTCTGTATTTTAGTGATTTAAAAATTTCTTTTACAAAAATAAAGTCCAAGAACAGTTTTGCCTAAGGGCAGGTATCTCAGGCCTCAGTAATTTCTTTTCTGTATTGTAGACTTCTTGTCTGTTCTTACCGAATGATACATCATCTCTGTTCTCAATTGTTGGGTTTTTGTTTTGTTTTTGGTGTTTTTTTTTTTTTTGGCTTTTGCTTTATATAGTGTATTATCTTTACATTTTCTCTTACTGTTTGCAGTTTGTCTGTTTCCCAGCTCGTCCTCATGGTATGATATCTAGCCAACGATACTATTGCATTTCTCCGTGCTTATTTTGCCATTTCCAGCTATTGGTAAAGCTCCAGAATTTCTGCGTGTTGGCAGCGAGCGGAGCTGTTTCCCCCAGTTTATTGTCCATGTAGCTGGAGTGCCCCGGCAAGGCATCATTGTGTTGTATTGAATTGGACTGGCTGAAAGCTGTGCCATCTGTACATGGACAGATTGTTACCCTTTACGATCCCTTTGGATAGAAGTTCTTGTAGCAAGAACGCTCACTTTGGTGTGCTGACACGAAGTGGTGAGTATATACAGCTGGGGCTGTTGTGGTAGGAAACGGTGCTTTTGCATTCTGGTAGTAGGGGGTTGTGGATTTCTTTGCAGATTTTTGACCCCCCAGGCAGCAGTTCGCCGGGGAACCAGGCTGCCCTCCAGCAGAGCCCTGCGTCGCCCCGGCGTTAGGCAGCCTGTGAAGTTTTGGGTGTCTCTGGTCTGCTGCCTCCGTGGAGGAACAGCAGCGTAAAACCAGAAAGCCGTAAGGGTCTTCATGATGTAAAATGAGATTTGCATCCTCACTGTCATGAGCAAACCGTCTGTGTTACGCGAATATCAAAGTAGCGTAATCAAAACAGATTGTCACTGTGCTATGTGCTGCGTGCACCTAGAAAAGTAAGGCTTGTGTCTCTCGATGTGTTTGATAGATTTGATATCAAAGTAACTGATACCGCACTGCTCAGGAATTTACCTCAGACCTTTCTTGGTGTTCAGCTTGATCTGTCGATCATACAGAACATCCTTGGGATATGTCTATTTTTTCCTCAGATTTTTTCCTTGCTAGCCCTATGTCCACTGTAGCTCAAGGATTTCCACCTAGGGGCAGGGCAGTCCAGGAAAGAATTGCTTCCCCGGGCAATACGCTGGGGAAAATGACCCTGTTGGGTTTTTTCCTGACAGGGTGCCCAGGTAATTCACAGTACGTTGAAATGGAATGGACTGCCGTGTGATTGCCACAGAAACTAACTGTAGTGCTATATGAAGTGATATATGCATGTGTCGTTGATTTTATATGTAGTTATAGATATCTACATTAGATACTTATATTTATTTTTATGTATTTAAATAGTTACATCTATATATAAAGTCAGTGTTTCTATGTCTGCAGCAGTGCTATACTCGGGAGTCAAATTCCTAGCCCAGTTGCAGTATCTACAGAAGGCAGATCAGTATGAGGTGCGTGGCAGAAGCTCCAGCACAGGAGTTCCTTCACGCACTAATAAGAAAGAATGATCTTACTGGAACAGCTTACATAAATAAAATCATTTCACGTATCTCAGCGTTGCTAGACAAGGCCCGCAGCACGCACGCACGGCGGTCCGCCCGGCTCATCTCACGTTCAGTTGTGACAGGGGGTTGCTGAGATTTCAGCAGGAGCGAGGAGCCTTGGGGAAAAGCTGACTTGTGTCAGCAGTCACGTGCGGTGAGAGGCCGAGAGGGAAGGCACCAAAAAAAAAAAAGAAAAAATGATGTGTTTTCTTTTTACTCCCCCCACAGATTGACCATCTCTGCTGAATGTCCCATGCAGCTTGAAGATTTCCCCATGGATGCACATGCTTGCCCATTAAAATTTGGAAGCTGTAAGTTCTCTTCAGAAATAAGAACCGGAAAAAAATCCATTTTTATCTGGCTTTTCACGTTCGGCCGTGTCTTGTACCAACCGCTCACCCTCTCCCCAGCTCCTCTGTTAACTCTGCTCGTTAGCACCCCCAGTCTGCCACCCCTGCTGCTACCCCGCTGCTTGTTTTCCCTGAGTGTCCTTCTTCTGGCACTGCTGCTTCGCGGCTCATGCTTGCATGCTCCGTGATGAGCGGGGAGCTGACGGGTGATACGTCTTGTACATCCCCATCAAGTCTAACAAGCCGCTTTTAGAAGGAGTAGTAGATGCAGACAGCTAAGTGGGTAACTTGGTTTTACACCCGTAAAAAGACGGAGCTTTCGTTGGACGGATCAGGTTGATGTGCTGTGGTGGCATTTACGTGAATAGCTACAGCGCATATACTAAAAGAGGTCTAGAATATTAAAAGAGGAAATAGCTTTCCACTTGGCTTTAATAAATCCAGCCCTGTAGCTTGTTAGATGACGTTGTATACCCGCGTATTTGTATATATGCTCACATTGTTCTAAACTGTACGCTGAACGATGATTTTTCCTCAATTCCAAGTCTCTAATCCACCACACTGCTGCCTTGCCAGAAGCTTGCTTTAAAAATAACCTCAGGGGATCAGACGGTTCTATTTAAATACAAAACTCTTAATTAAGTACAGATGAGGCTACTACAGTAGACATTTTTTATTTCGGTAATCAAATCAGAGGTTCCAGGTGCAATCAGTGTCTCTAAAGACTTCTGAAAATTACCAGGCAAGGCATTTTGCTACTCGCTGAAACCACCTAGCTTTAGCATTTTTCAGTGTTTTTTCAGGCATACCAATTTAGAGTCACTAATCCTAGCAAGATTAATCTTTGCCTTTATCGTCTGTATCTGCCCTGTTTTAATACTGGCTACGCATTGTTTTCTAGTGATCTTACTAAGAAGTAAAAACACTGTTTACAGTAACGATTACCAAATTACCAAACTTAAGACGAACTGATTTCCCTTCCGCCTCCCAACCCGGATAAAGCCAGTTCCATCTGAACAGCCACCAGTATTTTACAAGGTCACTGCAGGTTCAAGTATCTCCATTTACCTCAGCACCTTTTACAGCAAAGCCAGTGTAAATCTGAAGGTCTGTACACCTTTACATTCAGCTTAAAAAATTACATGTAAACCATCCATTCCATTCCAAATTTTAAAATGGGAAAACGTCTCACAGGAAGCCGTCATTATTTGTATATAGGGTTAAACAAAAGCTAGTGGAAAGAATTAAGATGACAAAGAAAAATAACTTGTCCTTCCTGGTATTACATATTCTTTACTGTTTTGATAGATAAAGTCGAAGCCACACCTGTTGGTCTCTAGCGCAGACTATAGAACTGGGATGTTGGGTAGTTTTATGAAATCTTCCAAAATATGCAATATAGAAGATACATATTTAAACAAAGAGCCTGATGCAGCAGAGATCTGAAGCTCAGCCTTAATTAAGTTGCATGGATGTTTCAGTGCATTAGTAGACGAGGTACCGTAAGGTACAGGTTCTAACTCTTCATATAGTAAAGCAAATTTACCCCCCCAAAACCCAAACATGCGAGTGGAGGCGATAACATTACTAGATAAGTTACAGAAGCTTAGGAGGAGTACAGTCTTCAGTAGCATTGAAGAAAACCCAACGATCTGCCTGAATGCAATTATATGTTCTGCTTCTGCCAAATGTGTTACATATTAATCACCTATTAGCGCACAGGTAATTTTAACCTGGGGAAAAAAAACAGCACTGAAAGGTCGTATTTTAGGCGTGTGAGGGCTGAATACAGTTTTAGTTCATGCTTCTTGCTACAAACCTGGAGTATATTTTATAAGCTCCTACAAGTCACCTTTAAGTTCTTCCACTGTGTATAGACATGGAGCCATTTGGCCTGTGCCAGTCCGTGCCGGGAGCCTCTGCATTAAGTAAATATACATTAAGTAAATATATAGGGGCAAGCTATAGGCAATCTTTCAGCCGCAGGAATATCTGTATTACCGATCTGACAGCTCATTAGTAAATCGTTGGGATTTAATATGCAGATGCTTGCACAAGTAGCAGCTAGTAAGTCAGGGTTTATTGAGTTAGCCCGGGTGTATTTCAGGAGAATGCAGTATTTATTCCGTATTTACAGCAGTATGGATTTGCATTAAGTCATCTGCAGGCCTGCAGGAAGACAAAGCCTACAGGGGTATATTATACACAAGACCATTCCCTTTCTGCTTTAGCTTTCCTTCCCCGTCTTTCCCCAAAGGGTTTCTTTCTAATGGTCTTCTTTCCAAGAAGGATTTTGAAAAGCCTCAAGGAATATCGTCAAAGTAAATGTTGAGCACATTATCGGTGGAGCTGGGCGGGTGGAGAAGAGACAAGTGCTCGCTGGTCAGGGGGTGGAGAGAGCAGGGCAGCCAACATCTTGCTGCATTAGAATTGTGGGAGACTTTATGGGCCTAGACAGCGTTATACGTAGCGACAGAACGTTACGCAGAAATAATTAGAAGCAAGGTTGCATATGGGAGAGGGGATGTAAAGGTGCATGCGCACGCCACCAGCCTAGGTACCTGCCTGGCAGTTCAAATGCCAGCTGCAGAAGGAATGCTTCTTAATGTCGTATGGCACGTCGTGCAAAGCTGCGAGGGGCCAGGAGGGCAGGGATGCTTTCTAACAGACCGAGCAGAGCAGGTTTTTGTTGCCCCCCCCCCCCTCCTCTCAAGTACGATGCCCCCGTGCTCCGAGGTGGCAAGATGAGGTGGGTCTGCTCCAGGAGGTGCGCGGACCTGGGCGCTCTCCCTCCAGGCTTGCGCCCCTGCTAGCCATAAAGCCACCCGTAGAAGTTACCCTGCAGAAACCTCGTTTAGGGAATCGCTAAGGGAACTGGGGATAGTGCATGAGCACAGGCCCCTGGGTCTCTGCAAACAGACTCTGCACCCTTCGAAGGGGGGGGTGCCGGGAGGGGGTGGCCGTGGCAGTCTGTCCTTCACCTCACGCTACTGTGGCAAGGATGCTGGTTTCTTCCATGGCCAAGTTTTAAAATAAACTTCCTGTTGCAGTCCTAGCGCTGACCTGTACTCTACATAAATTTTCTAGTCAGACAGGATCTGATGAAAATTCCTGGTGCCAGCCGCAGTTTCACTAGCAGCATCTTAGCCTAAGAAATTTCTCCTTCCCCCCCAGGCTATTTCTGGTGTGGGGAGGGCGAATTAGGTAAGACAACAAGGATATTGAAGCTAGAAAGATTTAATGTTTCACCTCTTCCACTGATGGGCCCTAAGAGTACATAAAAAGTAGTATTTAGTAGAGTTTCCAAACACCCAGGTGTCACCAGGTAGGTAAGTGCCATTATCTCTAGGGCAGCTGAGGCAGAGAAGTTAATTGACTTTCCATAAGGTCACACATCAACTCAATGTCACAAAAAAGGATTAGGCTCAACTTCTTTGGTTGGAGAGAGAGATGTCTAATGCGCTGGACCATGAAGGCCTCTGCCCAGGCAACTGACTTAACTCCTAAATCTCATTTTACTCATGTGTCAAGTATATCAGTTTTACCTAGCTTACAGGGTTGCCCTGGAGATGAATTAGTTAATTGCTCTTAGTGAACGTTAACCAGTGCTTTGACAATGTCAAAAACTGTGAGGTGGAGTCTATTTATGGTAACTGTCTCTTGAAGGCACAGTGTCTGAGTACATGTAGTTATCAGATCTTGTGTTGTGGAACGGATAAATGCATGAAGCTGCTGCCCACTAGTCACTCGGTGGCAAAAAAAAAAAAAAAAAAAAAAAACCAACACAACAAACTACTATTTTTAGAGTAAGTAGAGAGTCTAATGAATATTCTGTAAATAATGAGATTCCCTAGCTCACGAGGAGAGGGAAGCCAGGCCTGGTGTTTACTCCTGATAAATTTAAGTCGGCCATGACGATGACGAAGGTTGATCGCTGTCGATCAAAAAGGGAGCTTGCCGACTGTTTGTGAGAACACAGCACTAGGGACAATTTGTAGTGCCTGAAGAAAGTAGCTAAAATGCTTTATGTACCTCTTCCTTTTTAACAGCTCAAACTGAGTCATGGTGTCTGCTGTGTTCTTTGATAAAGGAAAGTGCACAGGCTATTTCTGTAGCAGGAGGCATGCTCAAATTATTTTCCCCTAAGAAGGCTGGTGAAATCAGAGTAATGAGGAGACAGTAACTTCACCAGTATCCCGGCATTTTATTGCAACACTTAACATTAAGGCACTCACTGTTCACAAGCTATCCACGCACCTGCAGCCACTGAGAAATTTCTCCAAAAAAAGTACATTAAGAAAATTACCCTGATGTGATGCTTCCGTATAATCCTGAGAAGGCACTGAGGGGAATGCACCTATGGGGGGTTTCTTGATTTTGTGCTTCCCTCCATTAGCACCTGCACCTGAAGCTGCAGGAGAACTGCAGGTGTGGAAGGAAAATTTCAAAACAGGGTCCTCCTGAACAGACTCTAATTCTTGTTTAGTAAAATGTGATAAAGAACGTATTCAGCCTCTCAAAACCTGTGGGTAAAACTCTCAGTATAAGAATATCATTAAATGAACAGCAAATAAAGACAAATGTTGATTTTAGGAGCCTCTGAAAAAGGGGGACTGGCTCTTTGGTAGGTTTTGCTGGGGTGCTCGCAGGGACAGCTGGCCCTGCACTCTCATGGGTAGAGCCAGAGCAATTCCGCTGCTCATCGCTGTCAGCTGGCCAGAAGAGGCTCCCGAGTCCATTCCTGAGAGCAAAGAAAGGCGGCATGGCTTATTGGCTCTGCTGGGAATTGTTAGTGCCTCCTTCGTGAAAGGGCACATGGAGAGGGCCAGGGAGGGCCTCTGGGAGATGCTGAGTGGCCGAGTTCAAGACTTAAGTTGTGATTTTGCAATTTAAGGCAAAAGCCGGCTGATGGAGGAAGGATAGGTTTGGCCTTTCTGCAGTGTGTAGAAGCTTTACTTGAA